AGCTCTGGTAGCTTAGTGCCTAAGGCACTTGACAGCTAACCAGAAGGCTGGCGGTTCAAACCCACCAGCCACTCCTCGTAAGGACGATGGGGCAATCTACTTCCATAGTGATACTGCCTCGGAAACCCAAGGAGGGGTCACTATGAGTCGGGTCTGACTCGACGGCACATAACAACAACAACATCAGTGTTTAGACTGTGTTAGATTGACCTCTCTGGGGAGTTAGGCAAAAATTAATAATCCTACATCATTCCTCAAAGGATCTGAGGAAGTTGATGCTCATATGGTATTTTGGCAAGAAATCTATGAAATTTACACAATAGGAAGTAAACATGCTAGCTAGTGTTCTGATTCTGTGTTAGTAACATCTAGAAAATGTGTAAGAAATTTAAAAACTAGAGTCACTGGACACAAACTTTAAGAGCTTTTCTCTTTAGAAATTCCGCAATTAGTCCTTCTGTCCCTTTTCTTTACTCCTAGTCCGTCTGAAAGGAGTCCTGGTGGTACAGTGGTTATGCACTCTGCTACTAACCAAAAAGTCAGCAGTTTGAACCCACCAGCCTCTCTGTGGAAGACAGATGTGGCAGTCTGCTATAAAAGTACAGCCTAGGAAACCTTATGGGCAGTTCTACTCTGTCCCGTAGGGCTGCTATGAGTTGGAATTGACTTGACGACTATGGGAGTTCATGTAACACAAGAAGTTAAGCACTCAACTACTAGCTGAAAGGCTGGCAGTTTGAATCCACCCAGAAGTGCCTTGGAAGACAGGCCTGGCCATCTGCTTGCAAAAGGTTACACCCTGGGAAACTTTATGTAGTAGTTTCATCCTGCACACGTGGGGTCACCATGAGTTGGAATCAACTCAAAGGCAACTAACAACAGTCCACGTGAAACAGTCAACAGCTTCCCTTAGGAAGAGTACAATGCTTAGAGCAGCAGTTAAACAGGAGTGGGTTCTAGAGTTAGATTAGATATCTACTGCCCAACTATCTCTTAAGATCTGGCATACAAACCAACTGTTTCTCTCTATGCCTCATATTTCCCTCAGAGCCATTACATATTTCTTCTGCATTAGTCAAGTAAGTCCTGGAACCTCTAAACTGTTTCTCAGAGCCTCCCTAGTTCACCAGAAGGGAGCTTCCTTCATTGTGATTAGAACCTTTATTATTACCCTTTCTGTTACCATTCCAAAGACTTATCTTTGAATTACATATTATGTAAAAGGCAAGTTTACTTCTGATGGTTAGGTCTGTAAGGTAGCTCATAAAAGCCTATGTAATTCATAATGTACCAAGGAAATCGTATTATTTTGATGACATTTAATCATGCATGACATTGTTTTTTGGTAAAATACATTTTTATCCATAGGTTGGTATGTAAGAAACAAAGAAATAAATATTTGTAACGCATATGCCTCTTCGTTATACCTTAGTATGGCTTATCTTAGCAGTTGAAGAAAAGAGAAAGGTGGGGGTTGACATTTCCAGGCACCAATAACTTATTCATACTCAATAACTATGCTATCCAACACAGTCACCACTAGCCACATGTGGTTTTTTTAAATTTAAATTAGTCAACATGAAATAAAATAAAAAATTCAGTTTATCTTTATCAGTCATACTAGTCATATTTCAAGGGCTCAAAAGCCACATTCGACTAGTAGTGACTGTATTTTGGACTGCACAAATATAGAACATTTCCATCATAGTGGAAAGTTCTCTTGGAAAGCGCTATCCTATGGAATAACTTTGTACATTAATTATTACATAGGCATTTCCAGTTGAGGGAAAGGGGGAAAAAAGTTCTTGTGAAGACTGTGGCTCTAGTCACTCTCCCCAAATTCAAATTTATGAGTCATTTATAAATTGTTTGCAAGTCGCAGATTCTTGTATCGTATATGAACTCTGCCTTTATGGAGACTATGGTTGGGGCAATCTACTTCTGCAAAGATTTACTGCCTCAGAAAGTGAAAGGGGGTTGCTGTGAGTCGAAATTGACCTGACAGCAGTGAGTTGGTTTTTTTTTTTTTTTTTTGGTTTGGTTTGGTCTGTTTGTTAATTAACAAATCAAGGCAGTATATGATAAATGAGAAATGAGAGCCACAGACAATAATATCTAAGGGAAACATTGGATCTGAAAGACACAAAGGACAATGTACTGTTGATGCATTGTATTTAAGAGGCAAAAGCAAAAGAGGCTGAAAATAACCCTGTGGCTGATGGAACTGGATGGCAGTGGTGTCATTGGTGGGCAACAGAGAAATGTAAAAGAGGAAAAAAGGGGAAATTGAGCTGTTTCTGCCCCTTTCAGAGAAGCACAAGAAGAATTAGGAGATTATACTCTTACAAAAGCTAAGGAAGATCTACGGTATCAAAGGCTATGTAACAACATTACATGTTGTTGTTGTTACCTCTCCTTGGGTTTCTGAGGTGGTATCACTACCGAAGTAGGTTGCCCAACCTTCTGAGGAGTGGCTGGTGGGTTTGAGCCGCCAGCCTTCTGGTTAGCAGTCAAGTGCCTTATGCTACCAGAGCTCCTATCAAAGGCTATAGGACATTTCAAAAGATTAGTAAATGCTGGGTCTAGACCAGTTTTGTCACTGTTTCCTTTTGCAACAATTTCACCACTGACATCAGAGACTGCATTCTAATGATAAAGGAGGTGTTAAGCATAAGGACATAGAGGTAATAATGTCCCGAGGAACTGAAGAGTTTAGATACAATCTTTGGCAAGTTACTTCTTGTTTTGAACCATTTCCATCTGTTCTGGGAACTGTTTCATCAGGTCAGAAGATGAGTGTGGTTTTCTTCAGATTGTACAGATTGTGCAGAACAAAAAGAAGGAAGACAATGGGATTATACACTTGACATTGAAGGCGTATCAGCAGGGGGTCTTAAAACTTTTAAATAGATGATAACACCTCTAATTGACAATAAAATCAAGTAAAGGAGAAGGAGCCAGGATCACTCTCTTCTGTTATCAAATGTGCAGTAGCACATACCTACTTTCCTGGTCATAAGCTGAATCCTGAAAATACCAACTAGGAATAGGTTCTATCGTGCTGCATATGGTATGTACCAAAATAGGGCCAAAGTATGCAAAAGTCTAGAACTAGTGGCTTAGACTGTTCCATGTTTAATTATCCAAAACCAACTAAAGATTCTTTTTCTTAGTTACAGATACCTAAGAAAGTGCTATATGTGACTCTTGTGCTTATACCCGAGTTATGAGGTCCACTTGCTAGCTGTGGCAGGTCTGAAATTCTTCCCACAACTCAATGTCTAAGAACTAGACGTATGGTTTATTTATGGTTGGGGTGAAAATTTGTTTAATTTAAAAATTTGTAAAGAAAATAAAAAGGTACATATAAAACCAAGCCTATGTAAGTTTTAACATATAATGTTAGTGTCCCAAAACTCTAATGGTAGAATAAGGACAACAACATGGAAAAATGTGCTAGCTGAGATAATATATAGCTATTTCAGAAAAGCCTCTTATTCTCCTAGAGCCTTTATCAATAAATAAGGATAATAAAATTACTGTCATTGCTTTGTTGCAAAGGTTGAGGAAAGAAATATGTTAAAAAATGCCTAGATTATGGCTATTGTTTTACATTTAACATAAATCCATAAGCATTTCCTTGTTTTTAGAGTTTTACTAATTATTTTAATAGCTGAAAAACTACTGTCCCGTACTGATATACTATATTCAACCACTTCTCCATTGCTGGACATTTGGGTTGTTTTCAATGTGGCTCACCATCTCTTTGAAATATACAAATTCCAGAGGTTATAAAGACCTGTACAAGCCCAGATTAATACATATTTTAGGTTTTGCAGAACCACATAATATCTGTTACATATATATTTTGAAACTACCCTTTATAAATATAAAAACCATTCTTAGCTTGAGGGCTGTACAAAAAAAGTCTGTAGGGGGGAGTTAGCCCTCCAACAGTAATTTGTCTAGTCCTTAATTGATAGTTCTTAATCAGTTTGGGACTCTCAAAGTTCAGTGTAAATGCATAAACTCAGTCTTAGAAGCTGGCAAGACTCTACAGACCAGCGAGTCATTATCTAGTCCGAGGAATGTGGTGTTCCTCAGATTCTTCTGTCAATATTTTTCTTTTAACTAGGAAGGCAAAACATGGAGGCGGTAACATCCATGATGGAGAATAATAGCAGTTTTTCTGTAAAATAATTCTTAAACATGACACTGGCTGAAAATGGTTGTGCTCTATGAGATGCCCTAATTTCACTGAGTGCCAGTTTCCAGAAATGAAGTCAATTTGTAAATACGCGAGAAGTCCTAAGAACAGTTGTTGAGGTTATTTTATCTGTGCTAATAAAAACTTTACCTCCATTAGGGTATAGAAGGGCACAGGCAACCAGTAGTGGAAAGAGAACTTAAGTAGGAACTCAGTATTAGCTAGTTTCAGGCTGCATGCCCTTGGGCAAGCTGGATAATGTCTTTGAGCCTCAGTTTTTTCATCTGTAAAATGGAAATCTAGCATTAAGCACAGTGCCAGGCACGCGATGAGAAAACGACAGGTATTTGCTCTAATGGTTATAGGCAACGAGTTAGTTTTGAGTTTTTTTAGGGCCCCGCAGGGAGGGTGCGCAGAGGTGGTGCTTCAGCACCTCAATCGAGAAAAGGATGGTCCTGGTTCCATTGTCAGGTTCAGTAGCACTACCCATACTCTTTTTGCTGCAAGGCGTTTGCCCACGAATGTTCTTCTAGAGGCCTAGGTCTCACCGGAGGACATTATCCAGGATACTGGAAAACCTCGGGACGCTTGTGCCTTGGCTCTAGTACATTCAACTCGAGTTAGGCCAATTTGAGGACAGCTCAAACTCACCTGCTTGGCAGGTGCGCGGAACTCTAGGCGTGGCCGGCGAGGGTGGGCGGACGAGGTGGGCGGGGGCAGAGGATATGAAGCTCCAGGCGCGTGGCACCCACCGCCCAGTCGCCGCAGTGGCTGCCGGGATGCGCCGCAGCGAATGGTCGCGTCGGGCGCCGCTCTGAGTGACCTTTCACCCGCGCCCAGCGGTCCGGGGCGGTGGCACAAGGCGGAAACCATGGCGGAGGCGGCGGCTGCAGCGCACGGGACTGGCGCGGGCTCCGGCTCTGCAGCGGACCGGGACCGCGCCGGGAGGAGGCTGCGGGTTCTCTCGGGCCATTTACTGGGCCGGCCCCTGGAAGCTGTAGGTACCAATGAATGCAAAGCGCGGAGAGCCGCGTCGGCGGCCACTTCGGCGCCCACGGCCACTCCTGTCGCGCAGGAGTCCGGCATCATCCCCAAGAAGCGGTGAGTAGCGGGACTATGAAGGAGAGAGCTGGCGGTGAAGGAACAGGCCAGGCCTGTACTTCAGGAGGGCACAGGCGAGGTGGGAAGGGAGGGTGACATAGGTGGGCGGAAGGAATCCTGGCCCCTGAAAGTACGGAGTCACCTCTCTTTGGGGAGAGAGTAGATGGGACCGTGGACTCTGGCAGGAAGGGGCGGGATGGGATAGTGGATTTTGGTCACTATTAGAGGGCAGTAGTCCTGAAGAAATCTTATTGGCGGAAGGGTTAAGGAAATCCTTTTGCTTGGACTCTTTCTGCCAGCAATTCGCTCTCAATTTTGAATGAATACTTCGGGGGCTAAAGTCTTGGTAGAGTAGAAGGGGTTTTGTTATGATTTTCCGAGGGCATTTAAGTTTGTAGAAGATATCACAGAGATCGCTGTTTGCGCAGCACTGGCGGGAGAGGTGGTGGGGCCTTGGAGGAAGGTGTTGACTGGTTTCTCTGCGGCTGATTCTCCTGCTTAGGGGCATGGTCTTTAACTTTGACGGAGTAAAACCGATGGGTGAGTAAGACGCAATGAACTGCAAACAGTAGTTACTGATTTTGGGTGTGGTAGCTACTGAGCTCTGTGTAACTAGAACGCTGGAAGATCCTTGCCTATAAATAAATGAAGGATGGTTGTATGAGATTTTTTGACTTTTTGGAGAGACTAATCTGTGATGGAAGTTATTGGTGAAGCTGTTTTCTGCGATGTGGCTTTCGCAGGGCGGATAAACTTTGAGAGTGAAAAAAGAAATATTGCTGATGTTTAATGTATACTTTCTATGTGCCAGGGATTATGCTAAATGCATTCTTTCTTTTATCCTCCCCTAACTATGAGGTAGGTGCTACTATCTCCCATTTTACAGATGAAGAAATAAAAAAGACTGAAGTCTGCTGTAGCATGGCCAGTATGAATGATAAAGGGTAGGTTAGAGTTTGAAACCATATCAAATTGATGTCAGGCCCAAGTTCTTAAGCTATACTGCATCCTGTGAATTCATTCGTTCATTCATACTTTTGAGTCCTTTCTCTACTACACACATAAGTTATCAACAATACAGAAATTGAAAAATAAAGTATTTGCTCTTGAGGGACAAATAGCCTCACAAGGCAAACTTATAGTGTGATAAGAAACTTAGCTGATAACTGTAATTCGTGGTCATTAAATCCAGTTTTGGGGAGGTACTTGTTAGGGTGAAGGCTTTCCAGAGCAAGGATCATCCAAGTAAATCTTGAAATTTGCTTTGAAATAGTCTGCCAAAGGGGAAAAATGTTCTTAGCAGAAAAACAGTTTGCTCATAGGCAAAGAAGTGCAAGATAGTTTAGGAAACTTGCAGGGGGAAGTGGGGAGTTAAATATGGCCAGAGTGGGTAAGAATGGCAGAGGATGAGGCTGGAGAAATGGGCCTTTTGTAGTATTTCTGCAGTTGGAATTTAACCCTGATACTGAATGGGGCACCATTGCAGGTTTTTGTGTGGGGAAAACAGGATCAAATTTACCAGGGATTAGGGATCAAATTGAAGAACGTTGAGCGGTGTAGCTGAGAACATAGACCTGAATTTGAATTTTCACTCCACAGTTATAGCTGTATGACCTTGGGCAAGTCACTGAACCTCTCAGAGCTTTGGTTGCTCATCTGTAAAAGCAGGGACAATAATTCCTGCTTTTCAGTGTTGCTGTGATAATTGAAAAATATAGAATTAAATGATCTATGTTTAGTGCAATACCTGTCACATAACCTTTCAAATGATAGCTGCAGTGTTCACTGAGTCCAGAGACAGGAAGACCAATTAGGAGATTATTATCCAGATGAGAAATACTAAGATTCTGAATTAAGGCATAATATTGAATGTAGGCACCCTATTAAAAAATATATTAAGAGTTAAACTTTCCAGATCTTGTCTGGGTGGTAGGGGAGAGAAAGACCAAGATCACATCTAGGTTCTGTCTTCACTTGATGTAGTAGTAGCTGTCATTGGGTATAAAAACTTATCTTTTCTGAATGGTTTCATGTACTTTGTTGTCTATTCATTTGTATGCATTTGTACATTTATATGCAGGTTCATAGTCTTAGAACTAAATAGGGCAGGTTTCCCTTGTAGTTGGATTTAGAGTCCTTGATCTATAGCATTCAGAGAAAAAAATCACAGTATTTGTAAGGCACACTAGGATAATGGACAGGGCTGCCCCATGGCTGAAGGACTGGTCTGGGGGCACCTCTGTAGGACTGAAGATGGCAATAGCTCAGGCACACCTGTAACCTATTTATGGCATAGTTTACACTGGGTAGGAGGTTCTGGTTTTTGGTTTAGGGTTAGGGAGCTCATGGTAAAATCTAGGCCTGTACAAGCACTTTAAAGTTGGAATCAAAGCATGAGGGAACACAAAAACTTGTATTAGATGGAATATCAAAAGCTTCCTCTGAGAGTAATCTACTTAATAGATTATTCATGGGGAAACCCAAGTCTCCCTTTGACTTCTGGGTGTTTAACTAGGCCTCAGGTTGCCAGAAGCAGAGCTGAGCCTAAAGAGAACACAAATGACAGAGCAAGAAGGAGCCAGAATGTGTATCTGATAAGGTGTAAATATGAGTGCATGTCAATTATTTTGGAATGATTTGGTGATTTGTATTGTTTATATCACTTCTTCCCTTTCATTATCTTTGATGATGGAATTGTTTGTGTGTAATTTATCTTGTGGCTTGTTATGGTTAAATTAAGTAATTTTTTAGTAGTTATGGTTACTAAATAACAGGTACTGTGCTAGACACTGGAGGTAAAGTAATAATAAATAGCCCTTAACTTCAAGGAATTCCTAAGTCTAATAGGGGAGACACACATTGTAGTACAATTTGATTAGAGCCATTCTAGAAACAGGTACAGATGTAGTACCTGGGAGGCGTGATATACTGTGTCTAAGAGATCAAGGACCAGAGGAAGCATTCTGTGGAAGGCTTTAAAGTATGAATAATAGCTTGACAGGTTGCTTAGATGGTGAGGATTCCAGGCAAAGGTCAGCATATGGCAAAGCAGGAGACGTGAAAGCGTATATCATATTTGAGTAATTAAATTCATTTTTGGTAGAGGAGGATGTGAAGTGAAAAGAAGTAGGCAGTGACAGACCATGGAGGCCTTTTCCCTGTTGGTCTTTGTCCATTCATTCATCCACTCAATCTCTCATTTATACTGTGCATGTTTGAGTGCTTACTATGCAACATGTAACAGCAAAAAATCTCTGCTTTATATCTTATAAATCTCTGGAACTTATATTCTAGTTTAGGGGAGGGGAGAAGTGAACAAACAAGTAATTATCAGATGGTAATAAATGAAATGAAGCAAAATACAGCAACTGAGGGGGTTAGGCTACTGGGAACTCTTGAAGGAATTAAGCCAGGAAGATACATGGTCAGCTTGAGTTTACATTTGAGAGAAGTCACTCCAGCCGTAGTGCTACAAATGAATTGGAGAAGGGTGAGAATGGTCATAGAGGGATCAGTTTAGGGGAGGCTACTGAAGCAGAACAAGTAAGAAATAATGAAGGCTTAAACCAAGATGCTGGCAGTTAGAATGGGAGGAAAGGATGGATTTGAGAGTTTTGGGAGTTATCAGTATATTAGGTGATACTTAAAACGTGACTAAATTAGATCCCGGGTAATCTACTTCTGTAGTGATACTGCCTCTTGGGAGGTCTGGTAGCATAGTGGCTAAGACACTTGCCTGCTAACCAGACGGCTGGCGGTTCAAACCCACCAGCCACTCCTCGGAAGGAAGGTTGGGCAATCCTACTTCCGTAGTGATACTGCCTCAGAAACCCAAGGAGGGGTCGCTATGAGTCGGGTTTGACTCGACGGCACATAACAACAACAACAACAAAATTAGATCCCATGAAAGTTTGGATACTGAATAACAGTAGAAGAGGGATAACAGGATCCCAAGGAATGTAAACATTTAAGAGGGCTGACTGACCGAAACCTGTTGTTTACTTGTCACGTGGTCTTCTATGAGTTGATTTAGTTACTTCTAGTCGGGAATATATATTCTCATTATTTGAAGTTGCTGAGCAGAGTTTTGAGGGTGACATTACTTTTGAGTTCTCTTTTGTAAGTAAATGCTACTGCATGTACTTTTGAGCAAATACAATTTCTTTTTTGACCTTACTCATGAATGCACTTTTAATTTGTTGAAAATCATGTTGCTCATGTTAAGTGCTGTCAAGTCTGTTCTGATTCATAGCGACCCTGTGTACAGCAGAATGGAACACTGTGCAGCCCTGCTCCATCTTCACAGTTGTTGCCATATTTGGGCCCATTGTTGTAACCACTGTTGTCAATCCATCCCATCAAGGGTCTTCCTCTTTTTCACTGACCTTCTGCTCTACCAAGCCCAATGTCCTTCTTCAGGGACTGGTGTCTCCTGATAACATGTTCAAAGTGTGTGAGACGGAGTCTTTCCATCCTTGCTTTTAAGGAGCTTCTGGCCATACATCTGAGTAATTGTCAAGTATGTGACATTTTTATGTCTTGACTTTGGATTTTTCTGTTTTATAAAATTTATGTAAGCCATTTTAATGTGATGAAAAAGAGAAGAGAAAAATCTCTTGCTGACTTCCAACCCTCCCTATTGATAATCATGTTCCCAGTTGTAACTTAATTTCTAACCTCTTTGTAGTTTGCATTAGAACTGATCACTGGCAGTTTTTACAGAGGTCATAAATAAACTAGTTCAGATCAAAAAAGTAACTGATTAAGAATCCTGCAAAATGTTTTGTTTACTTGTTTCTAATGTCATTTCTTTATTTAACATCATTGAATAATTCATTTAACATCCACCTGAAGCTTTGGTAGATATATTCAAAAAGGAAAAAAGCTGAGTTAACCTATTGTAAATGTTTACCAGGAAAGCCTTCTGAAGCCTATAAGAGCTGAGGCATTTCTGCAGCAAAGGTTATTTGTACAAATAAGTGACCTGACAAAATTAGAGC